TAGCCCAGTTCCATCTCAAGTTTTCCATTGGAAAAATATCTGGGGCACTGTTCCTTCCAGGTGCCCAAATGAAGCCTTAACTGCTGTATGTAAGGTAGGGTGGATTCAGCTGGATGTCCTTGAGCCCTCACATGCCAAACCAGCCCCAGGAAAGCCTGCAGTGTCTGCTTGGGCTTTGGTGAGGGATACAGTCCATGTTCCTTCCAGCAAAGAAACAAGCTGGGTTGTGCCACATGTTTGGGGTGAGTGCTTCAGCCACTGCACATGGCAGAACCAGGACAGGGGATAAACTATTTGTGTGGCCATGCTTTGGAGGGTGTTGGCAATCATGCCATCACAGGACTGATTGCAGAAGCAGCTCCAGCAGTTACACTGGAAAAAACAGTACTTACCTAAAGAAGTTCCCTCTGTTAGGAGAGAGACAGAAAAACCTCACAGGCTATGCGAAGAGGTCTCAGACATGAGTTTAGCGGCTCAAGTTTTAAGACAGAGGTACTTCTGCACAAGGCCAAAGACAGAGCCTACAGCTTTTGGGGAAACCTTTTACCATTTATTGAAATATAAATGAAGATTAATCGTCTCCGGGGCTAGGCAAGATAAATGAATGGGGGTTTTGAGAACTGCACTAACTCCTACATGATGTACTTAATTTTCTCTTTGAATATCTACCTCAGTCATTCTGTACCATATGCAATCACTTAGGCTTTCTGCTGTATGTATGTATATATAAACTCAAGCTTTAGGGCATAAACCAGTGTTTAGCTTTATATAGACAAGAAAGGTTTTCTAATATTAAGTGCTCACTATAATAAACAGGATTAGTAGGTGGAAGAATATATAATGATTCACTGTGGTGATACCAGTGCTTCTCTTCTTTAAGATTTATTTTCATAACCCATCTAAGTAATACTTTCCTGCCTATGGAGAACTTTGCAAACCCTACATTCATTTTCATTCACATTATTAGGCTAAAAGTGTTTTAAACTCCCACTCTACCCTGCTTCACAAATGAAAAAACATCTGATTTTCAGTTGGAAACTAATTTTTTAAAGTCTGATTTTCTTCCTTTGACTGTTTTACTTGATGAAGGACAATATTCAAAGAGTATGAATATATCCAGAATATGTTCCCTTCAAACGACATCCCTTTCCCAGGGAAAATGAAAATGGACACAAAGGTGTTGGGGGGCTGAACTCGCATGCAGACACAGTTTTTAAATTCCCTGACCATTTGTTCCTTACAACTTCTGGCTCTGGGTTATTTCCTCATCCTTGAGTGGATATTTTCTCCCATCTGCTGTATTTTACCAAGATACTGTATTTCTTTTGTTGTCTTTGTCTCCTTTCCCGTGCCTTATACTCAGATCATGCAATGAAATGCCTCGTTCTGTTGGCACAGAGCTTCACACTAACAATATAGTGCTGGCCCGGGGGGGCAAGGGGAGTGCTACTGCCAAGTGGGACGAGGCCAGTTGGAGACACCCATGTCATTCCAGGCCACCAGCCAAAGGGGTCGGGGAGTTGCTTTGTAGTTGAGTTGACATAGCCACCAGTGCTGGGACCAGCAGAGCCGTCTGCCAGGTTTCACAACTGGAGGTGCCACTGTAGGAGCCTTGCACTGAGGGCAGGAATGGGGAAGCAGGCTGAAAAAGGGAGTCAGTCACCCAAGTCTCATGTTGTGGCATTCAATGCACATGTGCTTTTCCTGATCAGGTTGTCTGCATCATACATGCATGCTGAGATTTGGAGTCTGAGTGAATCATTCAAAGCTGTTAAAATGGTTACAGATTTATGGGAAGCCTTTTCTTCCCAGAGACACATAAACTAAGACAACCTAATATTCACCATCACAAAGCAAACTCTTGCTAAGTTCAGAATATCAAAAGCAAAAGTGTAACATTTCCACACGTCACGCTGTACCTGTGCAGCTGTACTTGAGCACAGTCAGACAAAGGAAGGAATCTGATTACCCTAAAATTGAAAGCAACGTGGCTGTTACTATTGTTCCAGGGAGAATAGCACTGTCTCCCAGGCAAGGCAGAAACTTCACTTTGAACTTCCTGAGTTGACAAGGGCTTAAATCATAACTGTAACTTTACTTTGATGTCATTTATTGTGGTTTAATACCCCTCTTTATTTATTTCTTTACAATCATGTAAAATATATAAAGAAACCTAATCTGTTAGGGAGGTGTATGGGAATTTACAGAATAGACCTTAAGGGTTCCTTGATGCAGCTATAAAACACAGGGAAGCTATAAGAGCAGTCTGAACCAGACTAGGAACTTTAAATGTTATATAAATTTATTTGTCATAGTCAGAGGTTTATTGCTGTAAGTATTTACCTTCCCCATTGTTTTACTAGGTTGTGTATTTCTCAGACATCTATGGTAAAAACCGTGATGTACAAGGAAATAAGGAGAGCTTAAAAGCAGGGATGAATAGGCCAAATCTACTTTTGAAAGTATATTATAAATCCGGAATAACTTTACTGATATTAATGAAGTTGTACTACTATCAAACCTGACCACTTGTAGAGCAAATATGGCTCTGGTAGAGTTAATTACCACCCCTCACCCCTGGCTGATCTGGAATAATTCAGTGAAGCTGATGATAGATTTTTTCTTAATTTCCATCCGTAGAAATCAAAGATGACTCTGCCCCTAAACTAAGTAGGGTTTTTCCATCTCACCTTTAAAGTATTAGCTAGCTAATACCTTCTTGCTGTATATTGTAGATAAGCAGCTGAACTGTATTTAGGGAGTGTATATAGAGTCACAGGTGGTGCGTTGCTGTAAATCAGAAAGTTCCACTGAAATAAGCACAATGTGTTTTGATTCACACGGGTTGTGGATTTAGCCCATGTACTCACAGCAGTTTGCAAAGCTATGTGTCCACTGGCCTCTAACATTTCATGTTCTTCAGCAGGTGATTTCTAAAAACTTTTAACAAACCGTGGTAGTAGATCACAAAGACATTTTTAAAATCGTGATGCATCAAACCAGACAAGGCAAAGCACAGCCCTGCTGAAACAGTGCTGTGGTAAATTTTGCTAGATGCGAGTCTGAGAAAATTCTGAATTATTTAATATTGCACAAATCATAGGTCAGTTTTAAATTATGTAGACAAAGTCAGATGCTCCATCTGAAACGCAGAATGTCAGAGTTTAATAAAGGATATATTTCAATTTTCTTCATTTTTAATGTTACATGAATTGGAAGTATTTGCCCATTTTTATTCTCAAAGGTATTGAATTATTAACACTCTTCCATGGTTTTTCCATATTTCTTTTATTAAAGGGAACGAAGGACAAGAGCTTTAAAAACAGTATCAAAACATACATTGTAATTTTGATGATTTATGCCAGTTACTTGCTTAGTACTCTACCACTGTGACAGTGGAAAGCAGTCTGTGGATCCCTATGCATATACATATAATAGATGTACATTATGTTTATACACGTGTGGGAGGAAGAATACGTACACATCAGAAATTGTGTGTGTTTTTATTAAGAAAGGTCAGAACGGAAAGAATTAAGAGAGACCCCTGGTAACATCCATCTCTGTTTCTTTCAATTTCCTGTTGGATTACCTTAACTATATCTATGTTTTCTCTTCCACCTCAGCTGGAAAGATAACTTACCAGCAGTAAGCCAAGGACATAGTAAAATTCTCTATGCCTTTGTTTGGGTGCTTTTTTTTAACACAATGTCATTATCTATTATGCAAATAAACAACAAAATTGGGATACCCATGTAATTTCTGTACAGTCCTTTGTGTAAGTCAGGGAATCAGTATTTTCTCTATGTAGGTTCATTGCTTTTCCCTGTGGTGGCCTAAGGCATGCCTCAAATTGCACATGCATTTTCCTGGCAGAGACATTATTTTGTGTTTGAGAGTATCAGCTTTAATTAGCTAGCAAGTTACAGAGACGGATAATGCCAGTCAATGAGATTTCTGTGGAGAGGGTAGCTCAGGTGGTGTTTTCGTGGCCCTGGTCCACAAAAAAGTCATCAAATATGCATAGAAAAGTTTTCTTCATTTTTAACACCAGCTTTACTGGGAAGAGTTATTTTGTTTTAATGTTCTTAGCTTTATCCTGTTTAAAATCTATTATTTGTAATTGTGTCAGTAGGCTGATTCACAGCCATTGACATACTACTTTTCATTGTTAGATCTGATTGAAATATAAATATATAATAAACAGAAAAAGTTGACAGCTTGACTATCAGGTTAGACATTTCCATTTTAATCACATTAGGCATTAATAAAGGCATTTCTGTTAACAGATAACAGCTATTGTTTGTACTAGAGAGTATTAGTGTTGCTATTAAGTTTTTAATTGCTGAGAACTAGAATTACTCACGATGGATAATTTACTTTGGTAGAAAATGTGAAGTCCAAGTCTTGCAAAGTTTATATTCTAGGGGCTGTCAGTAATGGCATTAAAGTTTAGCGTATCTATTCATCTTTGTAAAACCGTCCCTTAAATACGGACAATGGGGATGAGGCAGCATTTATATTATTGTTAGAAATGTTATATCAATGATTTGTTTTTCATCAACTCCTTCCATCTGGCTCATCTATCTTCTAATTGTTACTTAATTGAATACGAGCAAACAGTTGGTCCATTTTTCTTCATTATTTCATTCTGACACATTTCTATAAATGGGTTTTGTCTTACAAACATGGCAATAGCATAAATTACAAAGATGAAGTCTGTCTGAAACAAAAATTACGGGGTTTTTTTTTTTTTGGTGTAATCTTTTCAGGGGTGGATGTTTTATTAAATGACAACCAAAGATATTTAAATGAGAACCAAAATGATGCTATTTATTAAATGCTTAAGCAATGAACAAGCTTATAAACAGCATGAAATGGTCACGCTTTTAAAATCTGTTTATTCAGCCATATATCCCCAACAAATAAGAGCTCTCATTAGTCATAATCACTGAATTAACTTTGTGGATACATTTTTTCCCCCCTTTTCTTTGCAGAGAGAATGTGCTAATTTCATCAAGGTACTTAAGGCTTACAACCAAACGCACTTGTACGCCTGTGGAACAGGGGCTTTTCATCCCGTCTGCACCTATATTGAAGTTGGAAGCCATCCTGAGGTAAACTATCTTAAATTTTTTTTTGTTTGTTTGTTTGGTTTTTTTTTGTTTTACTCTTTATTGGTGTGTAGTCATGATTTCTTTCTGCCAAAATGCACCCTCCCAAGTTTCTATGGCTCGGTGAGTGGATCTGGTAGGACCTGCTCCTGTATCAGGTGCTGACGTGCTGATTGATAAAGCACAGCAGAATCTGCCCTTTTCTTGCTGCACAGCATCTTTTTCCCCACAGGCTTAAATAAATACGAATATAAGCCCCATTTTGCCTGGTTCATGAAGTTAAAAGAGTGCTCTTTTTTTGGTCAGGGCAGATACCAGCTATAAGAGGGGCAGTTCAGCCTGTGTGGGGCCAACTCTGCCCATTGGTCTCCTGCTAGTCAGTACAGTCTGACACCATGGCAGCTCTTTCCCAACTGGGAATCAGTTGTCACACATTCATAAATCCTACTTCTCAGATTTGTCCTAACACACTGACAGTTTTTCATATGTGACTTAGGTTTTGTTTCCTTAATTTTTAGTAAAATATTACTTGTTTTTTCTGGTCCCTTTTCCCCTATTTTTTTTTAATCTGTAATTTATGGATTTTTTTGCTTAGTGCTGCAGAGGGCTTGCAGTAGCTCTTGCCCTGTTAGTGACAGTCAGAACTAAACTCATAAGTGTGGTCTTCCCTGGTGAAAACCAGTGTCACTTACAGAAAGCACTGGGACTATGCTGGTTCTCTAATCTGAAGATTTGACTAGAATGTCCAACCATTTCAGTGTTTTTTCACTCCACAAAAGCCAATCTTTTGTTTTCCTATTAAGCTGAGTATGTAATATGAATTAGTCACACTGCTTCGTTTTCAGTCTGGCTTACCTGAATATTGTTCCATGGACTGTTTCTGTTTTGCAACCCAGCTTTTGATGTGTTTTCAGCAGTCACTTACTTAATTTATGGATATGATTTATTTGTGAATCCATAGTTGTGTTACTTGTAGCATCTGTGATCTCAGAAGAAGAGCTCTTTCAAGTTACCTTATGGTTTTGCAATTCAGGTTTGCAGATTTCCCTGAAAATAAAGACATCATTCTTAAATGAATGAGGATTCAGGCATTTAAAAATCAGAATTTCTTCTTGTAGAAAAATTAACAGACCTTTTGAGTGTTGACTTTATAGTCTGGGAACCATTTTTGCCTATAAAAATGTCTTTTGATATTTGAAACATGAGACTTCAAAATGTTCTAAGCATAAGGTTTTGGGAGCTGCAAAGTAGACGGGCTTTTCTTTATATTCTTTAATTCTTTTATTCCAGAATGCATTCTTGACAATTAGTGATTGTCTCTTGACCACACACAGTATGTCATTGCTTACTGCATTAAACAGATTCTCTGCTTCCTGAGATCCATTTGGGAATTGGTAGACATATTAATTAACTCTAGTTCCGTAAGATGTGTGTCAATCAATTCTTGGCTATCTGCCAAGTGATTCTATCTGCAGAGAGATAGCTGGTATGAGGTCATTTAGTTCTACATTTGGCTGGTTTATGGCTGTACCATAAAACTAACACACACTTTATCAAGGATTTATAGAAAGGATGATCAGAAATGAGAGCCCAGATCCAACCTTGGTTTCACATTCTGGATTTTGAGACACTTGAGTCAATGATGTTTTTGGCCCTGGAACTGAAAGAGGATGTTTGGTTTAGCTTCTTTTTAGCAGTCCCCAACTATCTAAGTCGTTGCATTTTTGGTCATTTATGAAGTAAGTTTGTTAGTCCCCATGTGCCTGAATCATTCTCTTGTCCCTTAGTTTCACCTTTACAAACTGAGGAAGTCAAGAGTATGTTTATCTGAACTGCCTCGGACACTGTTAGCTTTCGACTTCCTTTTCTGGCTTAAGCTCTAGGTGAAATCATCTTCACCTGCCCTTTCAGTGGCACAAGTTTATGTACCCCCCAGGAGGCATGCAGGAGGGGTCGCACTCTTCTCAGCCCACCTCTGCCCATGCACAGACATTGGGGCAGGCAGGAGGCAAGTTTCTTCGCAGTTTTTGACAAATCTGACAGTCAGGCTGGGTCCTGTCCCTTGCAAAGGTGAGAATCAGATGAATAAATGAATTAGGTTTTCAGTGAAAAATAATCTGGCCTGTCTCTGTCTCTTAGCTAGAGCCTGCTCCTCCCTTTCCCGTACCACCTAGCCAGGAATTTCAAATGTGCACCTCCTCCAGGAGCTGGGGAAGAGGAGGGTGCTTGATTGACAGTAGCTATTAGAGACACCACGAGTGGGGGGGATACAGTATTAACCCCCACACCCCTGCATACTGCATCTGTGAGAGCCAGATGGTTTACATTGTCATGTCAGACAGCAACACTGGACGTGTCAAAGGGCCACTGCTTCTGTAGCATGTATAGTTTATACTTCCCTAGCATACTAAAAAAGGTAAAAAAATGTAAGTGAAAGCAAGCAGTTGATTTTGAGTTTAAAAATTGCCATCTAAAACGTTTCCTGAAGATTCATTTTCTGCCACAACCCTTGTGGAAAATTAACTGACTTCACCATCTGCTTATTTATTTTTGAAGCACTTAGAGAGGTAAATGTGAACTGATTAGAGGAATAGTCAGGGAATGTACCTACTGTCTAATAAGATTGCTTGTTTATGTGAGCTCTGAATATAACCCACCTGCCTGAGAGTGATGGAGGAGAGGAAATTAGTGTGTGGCAAGCTGAAGAGGATGGAGAAGTGAAATGTAAAGGAAAAAAAAGTGGCAAGAGATAGAAGAGGCACTGGAAGCAATTGGAGTAGGCTGCGGGAGGCTGGAATGTGGTACAGTTTTTATGATTGGGGAAAGGAAATAAATTGCTTTGTGTCATAAAGCAGTGAGAATATGAATTGTTATATCTGCTGAATATCTCTTCGATATGAAGCAGCATATCACAACCCTATTCCGTACTTGAAGATAACCATTTCTAGTGATGAAACTAGGCAGGTCTAATTGAGTTTGATGAAGTACAGTATCAGAAATAATAATAAAAAGGTAAAAGGATATGAACAACATGCTGTGCATCTGATTAAAAATGATCTGTGCAAATGTATACAACCTAATATGTTGTGAATTACACCACAGTCTGAGGAGTAAAGCAGACTAATCTTTGCTTAAATCTGTTCCAGATGTGTAAGTGCATAACCACAGTATTTAGAGAGACGAATAAAGTTAATGTTTCAGTAGACTTTAAGCATGTAAGCCATGAGTAAGCAGGAAAGAACATATTTAGAGGGAATGTAGGATGTGTATACGCAGAAAATACCTGAGGAGAGCCTAATTTAAATCTTGAAATCATCCATTGAAGAGGCTGTATTTGTGCCTTCACTGAATGGGGCAAACTGGCTCATATGCAGATGTCTGTATTGTATGTGTCTGAGTTTAGGTGAGATGACGTAACGCATCCACCTACACCAACTTCGGGGATCTGGGGTTAGGCAACATGTGTCATTCCCTCCCTATAATGCAATATAATACAGGAAACCAATTACCAGACAAAACAAGAAAGTAATTAGTAAAGCTGTGTTCTGCTCCCACTGACTTCTGTGGAAACAGGATCAGATGTGTAGGAATGTTGTACTTAACGGTTGCAAAATTACATAAGTCAGATCTGTGCTTGAAAGGAACAAATCCAACTGCAGGGAGACACAGAGGTGCATTAAACCCACTGGAAAATCACAACAGGATGCAAAATGCACCTGTCTCTGCATGCCTGAGCAGGGGGACAGAGCCCTGCGCCGTTTCCCCAGGGCTCCCTTTGGGGTAGTTTGTGTGAACCAGCAGGGAACAGTCCTGTTGAGGAAAGAACAGGATTTTCCATTTACTTACATACAGGTGGAGGTGTAGAGAATGCCCTATAGAACCTTGTTTTTTTAATACTCAGACAGGCATTACAAGAGCTGTACAAAATTGTTTGC